CACTCCAGGTGATGATGACGTGTCAGTGTAGATTCCTCACTTGTAACAGACGTGGAGGATGTTGGGCGTGGGGGAGGCTCTGCGTGTGTGTGATGGGGCATGAGAGAAATCTCCGCACCTCCCGCTCGGGGTCACTGTAAGCCTAAAACCGCTCCAGAATATAAAATCTATTTAAGAGAGAAAGAGAGAGAAGAAAGAACAGCTACAACAAAACCAAGAGTTCCTGCCCATAGAAACACTCAGTAATGTTCGCTTTTATAATTTACAAATACTGCTTGAGAATAACAGAAATCAGGTGTGAATCTTTACAGAACCGCCTGGTCGTTATTCTGATGTGACTTTCACTTAATTTAGGTATTGAGGTCTTCTTGTTAATCCCAGTTTTGGGGGGAGGGGGAGGGTATTTGATCCTTTCCTTGTCCAGTTCTTACTAAACATAAAGAGAAGTTAGTAAAACCTTGAACATGTTCTCACTTCCGATCATCTTTTTAGAGGAGAGGGGTTTTTGCTTTTGGTTTTTGGTTCTGTTTCTTAGATTCTTGTGTAACCTAGTCTGTTCCGTCCTCAGCAGAATATTTCGGTTCTAGCTAATCAGAGAGGCTAACACGGCAGAAAATTCAGCAGGACGTGTGTGCGTCCCCGAGTTGAGATTTGGGGGAGGTCATTTCAGACTTGAAACTCAGGGTTTTCTGGGTGCTGTGTGTTTGTTTCCTCTAATCGGTCCACCTGAAGGTGTATTGCTATTCAGATAATGTCTTCCACTGCTCAACAAAAGATTGTTGTACTGAGCTGTGATTGTGACAAATGATTTACTATTAGGAACATTCTGTAATTATTGTTCGGTGGGACCGCAGACCGATACATCATTAACATGATAGACGGCCTTTTATATCAGCAAAAATAACTAAATTAATAAAAATGGCTTCATTCCAAACCCTGTCAGAAAGCCAATACTCAGAACAATCAAGTAGCAGGGATACCTGAGAAAGCCATAGTTTATACCCCCCAACAAATCATGTTTTATGCATCAGTCATAAAATATTTGTATATATAATCTCTATAATATGGATCTGTGTAATGGAACAGGTTTGTATAGATACCAGCTCTGAACAAAACATAGAAGGCATTTAAATATTTTTCTCCCAAATGATTCAGATGGAAATTTATGCTTTTATGCAATTGAATGGCAGTTTTAGAATATTAGAATCTGCCTAGGATGGCTTTTCTTTCAATTCTCAAGCATCGGGAAATATTTTAATGATGATTGCACAGACTGGCATGTCTTTCCTTGGTCTTCCTACCTTCCACTCTTCCTTCTCTCTTTTCTTTTCATCAACAGACTCCTGATTTCTGCTTTCAATCCTTAGCCTCACTTTTTTTTTTTTTTACTTTTTCACACAGAATGAAATATTAAATATTTCATGATGGAAACAGTTTTCCTACACCAAAACATCTAGAAGCCTCCAACAAAGCTTTACTCAAAAAAAAAAAAATCTCTCTAGCACCTGATTTAAGGTGTCTGAAAGAACTGACATGTCACTAATGATATTTGCAAAGAAAGATAACATGGCGGCATTTGATGAAATTAACTGATTGTTGAAAAATTTGGACCCTGCTTGCTTTGCCATTTCTTTTCGGCAGGGGCTACCAGAGCTGGAGAGCTCCAGGAACGTGGTCTGACTAATTCCCTGCCGTCTTCCATTAGCGCTGTGAGGGAGCTATCTTTGCTGCCACCCTACAGAGAAGGACACCGAGACTCAGGATGGTCAAGGACGTGTCTAAGTTCTGTCTCCCCTTGACGTTCTCACCACACGCACACTAGAGTCTATGCTGAAAACCAAGACACACCGAAGTTATCGCTGATCAGCTTTGCCATCTCAAACAGCTACTGCTCTAAAGAAATAAAATCTACCACTGTATCTTTCAATATCTTTGCTCATATTGCTGTGATTCTCATGTTTAAAAAAATGTACTAACCATAATACTCGGTATGATTAAGTAAATAAATAATTAAATTTCGTTGAAAATCTAGGTTGGTCAAAAATGGAGTATTTTTAAGAATACTATATATTTTTTCAGCATGTGGTTAAATGCAAAATGCCGTTAGTCTTGTATTGGATAAGCACTGGATAATGAAGACATCTGCATCATCCTTCAACATTGCTCAATGCGTTTGAGGTGTGTGCAAGCATGTGGAAGAACACAATAGTTGGCCAAGAAAATGCAGGAGATATTTAAATTGAAGACTGGGGCAAAGAAATCCAAAAGGAAAGAAGAGAAAATATTTATAAAACTTAAATGAATATAACTAGTCATACTTTCATGTTTGAATGACTACTTATGTAGGACATTATTTCAGAGCTAAAGGTATAAACACTGGCCGGCAGTGTTGCTTAGAAACCTACCACAGATACAATTAACTGCCTTGTTTCTTTAATGGGACCTTAACACGTTGCAATAAATGCATAGAAGCATAAGTGTAATGTTTGCAATTTAAATCTGGAAGATACGATCAGTTGGATTATTTTCTTGGAATTAAGTTTGCTAAAATTGAATGTACACTTGGTTTTCAAACATATTTGTTGGCCTTTTATTTTAAAGCAATGAACCATGCAATCATAGTCACCAGTGGTTGAGAGGAAAGACATACATGTTTTTGGGTACACTCTTGCAACAGACTTACGGAAAAACAAAATATATGGGCTATAGGCAGTCATATAAAAATGAATAAACATTCACATATATGAATGTAATATACTCACATATATATGAATGAAAAAAATCCATGTATGTGAGTAGAAATCACAATTATGTTTCTAGAGGTTTGCATTTTACTACTGACAATAAATTTCAACAAAAAGTGACGATTACATTCATTGGGATCTGTGTGGACACTTAGGGCATGAATCTCCCAAGAAATCAAGGAAGGGATAAACTAGAACTCAACTATTCCTTTTTCTGTTCTTTTCTTCCCCTCCTGCTTTCTGTTTTCCAATGTATATGGTCCACAATCCCCTGTCCAAAACTCATGGGGCAAAATGTGTTTTATAATTCAGAACCCTTAGGATTTTGGAAAGTAACGTGGTGTGTATATTCATTCATACATTATCCTCCATCACCAGTGGGGTCTGGGGTGGCATACATTAAATACGTCTGCAGAGACACATATGAACACTCACACTAAATGGGGATAAAGGCCACGTGTACCTTACATCAGTCTGGGTCACATTTTGCTACATGGAAGTCCAAGTCAGTGCAGGTTGGCTGCCCTAGGTATCTCTCCACACACTCACACACAGGCACATGTACAAATAAGTAAATGTTTTGATTTCCTAGAAGCTCTTAGATTAAGGAATCATAAACAAACCTTGAGCATTGATGTCAATTTAAATATAATTTAAATTTACTTTGGGGCATTTAAAAATATTTTAATAGTTTTAAAAGCAGTTTTAGGGTCAAACCAAAACGGAGTGGGATGTACAGAGATTTCTCCACATTTGCCTAGCCTCCCTCATTACCAAAATCCCCACTAGGGTGGTAACATTTGTGACAGCTATAAACCTACGTTGACACATCATTATCACTCAGATTCTATAGCTTACATTAGGGTTCACCTGGGGATGCCTCGTCATGGTACATGTGTCCTTTTGCATATTTTTACAGGGTTTTTCCACTCTTGGTAGTAGCTTAAAAAATTAGAAGTTGCCATGTAGTAAGTGATCAATAAAATATATTGTATTCACTGAGTAACTGACATTGCAGTACAACTGATATTGCATTTTAGAAACTGAGGGGTGCTTTTTAGAAATATGCTCTTGTTACTTCATTCGTCTACAGAAACTTTGAAGGATCTAAAGCTTCAGTCCCTGTCCAACTCCACTCACTGCCCAGACTATTTTCAGAAGCGCTCATGTCTTTTGGGAAAAGGTGCCAACATGGTCCATATTTCCCTACATACAAGATATTTTATTAAATAAAGATGCAATTTCAAAAGCAAGATTTCTCCCTAAAAAAGCTTTAGAAACATCTTATGGTAGCTCATTTCTCCAAATTCTTGCAGCATAAATGAAGTCGGTCTCAGAGGCTGGTTGTAACAGGCAACGT